GGAGGTCGGCCATGCACAAGGCCTGAAACTGGTCGCCCTTAGCCCGAGAGCGGATGCAACACAAGTCTTGCATCGACTTTGGGTGCGTCGATGGCCTCCTCGAGGGGTCACGATCGGGCGATCTGGTCGCCCCCTTTCCCTTCGCGCTCCCTGAACCCTCGCCTGGAGGAGCAGCTCCCGACGACCCCGGGGCAGCACTCACACAAGCAATCGAGCCCGCGTACACCTTTCGGGTCCTGGTCTTCACCCTCTTCGGTGGGCAACTTGCCTCCGGAGACCCCGGCGTCCTCCTCGGCGTGCCCTTCTACGAAGCATCGCCAGCACTAGAACCCTTGCCATCCCGAGATGGCAGCACAATGACCTTGGCATGAGACATCGTCTTCACCGACTGGAGGTTCACCATCTCTACAAACAAAAGACCGGTCGATCAGCAGCTCGGGGCAAGACGGGCGATTTGAAACATAAGAACGGTCGTACCCCTAGTGGCTGGGCTTAGTCCCGCCTCGACCAGCCACTCCTCGGTCATCTCCCTGATTGCCCGAGAAGAGGACAAAATACCCCTTAAACAACTCACGCTCGCGGTTTCTCCATCAGAAAGAAACAATGGGACATTGTTGATGATTCAGGAAGTCCATCCAGTGTTGAAACCCCTCCCCTGACTACAACTGATGAAGAAATAGCGACTTTTCCAACCTTTGTTGTTGGAAGGAGCGCCGCTGATCTTGAAACCGCTACGAGCGGTCAGATAATACCCACCTCACCCCTTACACAGACGGAAGCAGGCCAAGAAGAGTGTTCGGGTCGGCTCAATCCCTGGTCCCTGATACTCCCCGAGGAAAGCCACCATATAACACCAAGAGTTCGGTGCCATCTGGGGCGATGATATCCTCCATTCACGAAGACACTCTTCGATAACGGGATGCAACGGGAACCGTGGTCCCGCCTTGAGGGCACCCACGGTCAGCCCAAATCCATCGGGAAATGGATCATATGGCCACTGACCGGGCTGAGGGGCATAAATACCATAACACCTCGGGATACAATAGCGATCCCAAATTGCCCCCAAAAGGTTCTCGGTCACCACCGAGTCTACATCATGCCATAACTTGAGGTTTTCAAGCATGGCAGAACCCCCTGTGCCCTCCAAGGGCGCGCCACCCAAAGACGAGCTAATGACTTCTACCCTTGGACCCTAGAGGATGGCCCTCGCTCCCTGGCAACCGATCGACTCGAAGAAGAAGACGAAGAGGAAGAAGACGAAGACATCCCGATCTCAAGGTTAGAAGGAAGGAGCCAAGGCATGAAACGGAAGGCTGGGCAACACAGCGGCAACTGCTCTGAGAGGAGCTTATAAAGGGGGAGGCACATCCACCGCGAGGCAACGTTTGGGCTCCCCGAGGGAAGAGATGATCGTAGCATTTAAAACCTATCATGACTCCTTGGATTCCCCCAGATTCTCCAGTCTCGAAGAACCCGCCAAAAGTCGCTCGTGGCAAGAGGCCTCCCGCCAGAAGCCGCTCATGACAGGTCCAATCTTTACCCGAGTCACGCAGCTCAACCCCCGGCTTGCGACTCGCTAGTCTCAAACCTGAGCCCGAGATCAGTCCCTCGGCCAACAGGTCCACTTTTTGTCCGAATCACGTAGCTCGACCCCCGACTTGTGACTCACCAGTCTTATACCTGAGCCCGAGATTAGTCACTCGGCCAATAGGTCCAGTCTTTACCTGAGTTGCACAGCTCAGTCCCCTGACCAGCGACTCACCAGTATCATCCTGCCTGGGCCCAGCCACCCGGCTAATAGTTCCAACCCTTCCCAAAGCACAGGGTGCCACCCACCGAGCTGCCTCACGATAAGCCGGCCCAACACTTTTGCAAGCAATCAATACATCTACGACACTCCAACCCAGGCGCGCCCCTCGCCCTCTCGCAAGGACCCCACGACACGCCTCAGTGGGGGGGGGGGGGGGGGGGGGGGGGGAGGGGGAGTAATAAGGTATATTTTTTGGGTTCGGGCCATGTCACAATCAGCGCCACGCCATGCCACCTCCAGGTCAGCAAGAGGAGCACTCCCAACCGAGCTAGAATTCGTACCAAGGCGTTCCTCGGTACGTCCCGTACCGGAAAGCTTGGGACGGTGTCGTATGGTGTCGTTCTGCATGTCCCGAGACGGCGACAGCACAAAGGTACCATCTCACCCCTCGAGGATCGGTAGCCATGCCAAACCCGCATACGGTCGACCCTCGTGAAGTAGTATAAAAACCCTGGCCGGCATCCGGCCCAAGGGGAGAAAAAAAAACAAACCAACCAAGCACTGACTTACTCGTTGAGGGGCCAAAGTCGACAACCACTCGACGAAGGCCTTATGTGCAGGAGAGCGGCCACCCCTCGAGCCACGACCATCTCGACGGAGAGCCGCCAACCAGCATCCCGATCGAGAGACGCCAATCAACATTCCGGTGCCAGCACCCCGTCCTGAGGGCGTGACCGACCTCGGCAACCAGCTCAACCGACCGAAGACTCCCGACATCGACCCGTAGACCAGACCGTGCTTACTCATCAGTCACGACACATCAAGTTCTTCTTACGGTGACGAGAATTTATCTTGGTGGGAAAATTTTTATTTGTACATTGTTTTAATCTATTACTGTAATATATATATATATATATATATATCCGAGAAGACCTATCTAATGATAAAGATAGCATCTGTTCACAACGGACTAAAAAAGTCTAGAAAGAGGTTCGAGTGTTTAGTTTATTCAAAATTTACAAGTGTCCCAAGAATTCCCTTTTATTATATTGAAGGTGTAGTTGCTGTCGGTTGTTAATACTTATATTTAAGCATGATGATAAAATATTCATTTTTAGATAATATTTTTGTTTTAATTTAATGATAGAGTATTCTCTTTATATATCATATTGATGTGATATATCTGATTGACGTGTCACCATTATTTAAGATAATTGGGCTTCATGTTTCCAATCATGATTGATCTAAAATAATTATTATAATATTTGTATTATATTACTATTTGATATTTGAAAAGCATCTTCCTAATATATGTGATGCAATGACCAGAAAAAATAAATATATGAAGTGCTTAATGATAAGGGACATTTTGGACAGTCCTGCTACGTTACAATCAATGCCACGTACTGCCATGTCAAGTCAATAAGGAGAATACCCTCGCACATCAAACCAGATCTCGTACCAGGGCACTGTTCAGTACGATCTGCCCAGAAAAACTCAAGACGGCGCCATACGACGTTCCGGGACGGTGCCGTCTCACGCTCCCCGAAACGGTACTGTCCCGCACGTCTCGAACGGCGCCGCTCCACACGCCTCAAGACGACAACCACGCGAAGGTACCCTCTCACCTCTCGAGAGTTGACCGTCGCGCCAAACTCGCATACGGCCGACCTTCGTACAGTAGTATAAAATCCTTGGCCAAGCATTCGGCCATGGGAGGAAAAAGAAGAAAAAAAAGAAAAGGAGATTCCACAGACCATTGACTTAATCATCGGAGGGACCAAAGTCGGGGAAGACCCGACGAAGGTCTTTTCTTTTGTAGGAAATCGCCACCGTCTGAAGCGAAAGCTCCGCTCACGCCCCTGACATCAATCCTCAGGGCAACGATTGACCGGTCCTGAGGACCAGCCGGGACGCCCGAAGATTCTCGACATCGCCCCGTGGACCAAGCTGTGCTGACTCATTACGGTGTATTAGTTCATCAACACTTAACATATTATGTAAAATATCAAATATTCAAACAAATTTAATATGACTCAAGATATGTCTGTACGTTTGATACATTTATTTAGGATATAAAGAGATCATCCAAATTATCAAACACAACTAAGACATTCGTCTTATCGGTGATAGATCTATTCAGGATAAAAAAAACACGTAAAAGTCTTCTCTTCCGCATAATGTATCCATCCAAAACATAAACAATTATAATGTTCGATACATCATAACTAGATAAAACATATCATTGTATACAATGTATTCGTTTAGAATATAAGCATCAAAACTCTTTATATATCATAATAAATTATTGTTTTTTACATAGAAAGCATTCATCTATTACATAAGCATGCATTTTAATTAGATAAAAGCATCAAAGCATCATATGCATCGTAAATATGCAAACCCTACATATTATGTGTCCATCTTAATCAAAAATATCTAAAAGACCCTATGAGTTATAATAAAAAATATCTAAAATCATGTCCCTACATATACTTAAATCATTTTTGATGTAGAAAAACACTATAATACTTGAGATAGATATTATGTTCTATTAATATCAACAAGCTCTAATCTTGACCCACGATAAGGCATATGATATGATCATTATTATTTTTTAATAGATAATTGTATATCGGATATGTTAGTGCACCTATGGAGTGTATCACCGTACCATAATATCTAAATGATGAACACATACATAATTTTTTACAAGCATAATTAAAATATGATACAATGAATTTCTTTATCTTTAAGAAAAATTATTCGTAGTCATATTCTTGGACTACATCTCTTAAAAGAACTTATTTCTCTTTTCTAGACCACTAAAAAAAGAGTCATCGTAGATTAATTTTGCCGTATCGACCAAAAATTACAATATCAAACAACAATGAATTATTTTATTTGTATTCATGCAACTTTTTTTTTTCATCGTTAGATCCTAAAAGCTTCGAATAATGAATTGTGAGATGAGTGGGGACTGGACGTAATCAACCCGCTTTTTCCACCCTCAGCGCGAGGAGTGAGGCAGACGTATGATTAGGCTCAGGTCTTGCCTACGTGGACAGCGTGGAAAGATTTGGGGTCGTATATGGGAGTCTCCCTCCGTTCATCGTGTGTTGTGCGCCCTTCGCGCTGTATGATTCGTGCAAAATCGATCGGCTCTTTTGGTCCCACAAAAGATACTAGCCCGGATCACTGGACCTGGCGCGAATCTTGTGGCACGGATTGTCGTAGCCAAAGCAAAGGATCTTCGCACCCAAAGACGCAGCGGGGCATCGGAAAGAGGGAGAGAGATAGAGAGAGAGAGAGAGAGAGAGAGGAGACGGCGTACGGGAGACGATGGAGTTGGAGATCTTGGGAATCAACTTTGGGTGCGTGATCGGGGCGCTGCGAGCGTGGGAGTTCCCGGAGAAGGATTGCCTGCTTCCCCTCGTCGCCAAGATCCTCGGCTACTGCATCGTCGCCGCCTCCACCACCGTCAAAGTGCCCCAGGTCTGGTTGAGAATGTCCCTCCGATTTCCGAACCCTGATCTTCGTTTCATATAGTCCTTGATCTATTTGATCTCCCACTTCTTGTTTCTTGGATACGATATTGTGAATTCTTACTGGTGCCATTAAGGATCTGGGCTACTTGCGATCTCAATTCTTTTGAGAATGCCCCTCCGATTTCCAAACTCAGATTGCGGTATAATTTGGAGGGAGATCCCTCTTCTTGGTTATTTTACGGGATAGGAAGCGAAAGGAGAAAGGAGAAAAGAACTCGAGACCGGGTGAGGTGTTTAGGGTTTGTAGATTGGTTGGGGGTGAGACAACTCATTTTCACATGGATCTTTAGAATTGAATTATGCACAAGTGTTGAGATTTTGGGTTCTTACCAGAGAGTTAGTTGGCCGGGGAGACGTTTCATGGAATATTTGGAGCGGTCACTCTTTGGGATGGCAGCGGATCTGAGCCCGTCGGTCAAATGGTCATGGCAAGGCCGTGAGTTCTTCACACATGGAGCAGTAGGAAGTGGGCTCTACTTTCACCCTTGTGCCAGGACAAAGAGTGACCTGTAATGGTCAAACATTTCAAGCATACTAGTTCATGGACATTATATGAAAATGTGTTTTTTTTTGTCTGAAAGTGTAACAAGATGTTAAGCGACACCATATTAAGCCGAGACATCTTAATATTTTTCACTTTTTGTAGTCCATCAACAGCTTTGATGTCCTGACTTACTCAACTATCTCATTGGTCTTCTGATCTTTGAATCTACAAGTGTTATGTTAACGGCATTCTTCTTAATTGTTTATTACCTTTTGTTTGGTAATTGGTAGTAGTTGCATTCTTTATTTTCTGAATGACTCTTGGCATGGTCAATCTAGAATTCTCTGTGCAAGATCGGAAGGATCCAAAACATCATTGTTCTTGTGAAATATATGCAGTTGCCTGCAGATAAGTACCAGGAGAAGGTTCCACATGTACATATTATCTCTAGAATTTAACTTATATTAATATGATCACGTATGTGATTTTGGCTGACTTCAGTATTCTTCTTTTGATCTCTTATTGCCATTTACCTCCAGTTGTTGCAAAGTAGCTTTTTCATTGGAGGCTTTGTTTCTTTCTTTACTGTTATGACCTGTGAGTATCTGTACATATTCTGTTACTTTGTTATTAATCCCTTTTATTGATGCTTCTTTCCATTTACAGATACTTAAAATTTTGAAAAATAGCAGCATCAGGGGACTTAGTGTTGTGGCCTTTGAGTTAGAAGCTGTTGGTTACACAATTGCTTTGGCATATTGTATTCACAAGGGGCTTTCCTTTTCAGCTTATGGAGAATTACTTTTTCTCTTAATTCAAGGTACATATGCTTCATTATCCAAGGGATGTTTTACTAAAAACCATGCAATTCTCTTATTTTATTCAAATTTAGTATCTGCATCATTTTGTTATGGTTGTTCACGAATTTTATGGTTTCCCTTGCAGCCATAATTTTAGTTGCAATTATCTACTACTATTCCCAGCCAGTGGGAGGTAAAGCCTGGATAAAGCCTCTGCTGTATCCTGCATATAATTAGACAACTATGTCATTCAATGTTTTGTGAAATAGCTGCCTGGTATGTCGGGTTAAATTTGAATGCTGACTAATACTTTATAAGGAATTGTCAGAGGCCTTTTGAATTTCCACATCTTCTTTGTGATTCATGATGTGCTGATTTGTTTTTCCTCAAGCAATGGTCTATTAGATATTGTGCTGTAGCACCAACTGTTTTAGCTGGCCAGATTGACCCGTTACTTTTTGAAGCCCTATATGTAAGTAGGAACCAGTTCTACCATTTAGTTACATTAAATGTTATTTTATGGGTTATATATTTTAATTTATTTCGGATTACATTTGTATTTCATATGCTCTTACTGCTGCTGACTTTCATTTTTTTACAGGCTTCTCAACATGCGATTTTTTTCTTTGCAAGAGTACCACAAATATGGGAGAACTATAAAGTAAGTAAACATTTTCGTAAGGTTTGAACTTTAAGCTCTAATTTCTGATGTTCAATCAACATATCCTCCTGTCTATGATAAACATTAGTTCTCTTTTCCTTATAGCAAAACATTAAAAATAAATACAGTGCCTGGTCTGACTAAAGAAGTTAGGCAATAGATCTTCAGAACAAGACCATCTTTAAGGCTTTGTGATAATTTTTGTGTAGTGGATATTGCATTAAGTAGGACATCCTTTAGTTTTGAGCTGGTACACATCTTGGACAGATGATTTGTGGATTAGTAGTTGTCATACTTGAGGAATATCCTTATGTCCATACAAGAAATTGGACTTCTATATTTTGCTAGCTTTAGTTGTGCTACTTAAGTATATTGTACTGTATATACAGACCTAACACATTATGATCCATTAGAAGGTGATATGTATTTCATCAGCACATGTGATGATGTTGTATCTCCAGAAGCACTCCGATAGCAGCAGATAGATATAGGAGGAGGAGCATGATGAGGAGATAAAAAGAAAAAAGGGGAAAAGTGAGAACAAATAAAGAAGGGATTTATCTATAACTCCCGGATGATTAAGAGATCTGAACTAACACGAAAACCCATAAATAACAACAAAAATCCCTTTTAGGGGCCAGTGCTTTGCTGATAAAAGTTCTCGATATCAGGGGTACAGTTCTGATGCATTGTCATAAAATTGCAACATGACCAGGGAAGCAATTTATATATGTGGTATATAAAAAACACTTGAATTTTTGATTGGTGCCTCCTATCTCATAATTTTTTTTCTATTTCTTGGAACAACTTTGTCATTCTTCTTAATTCTGTTGGAATATGATTTGCATATTTTTAACTAATTTTGTATGCCTAGTCTCTGAAAAGAATATGATTTCCTAATACCAAGGCCCGCCCTCAATGTATTTTATGGATACCACCAAAAATCCACCGAGAATAAGATATTATGCACTAAAATAAAGATATTGGTCTTGAGGCTTGAAACATGTCCTCAAAGTTTTTTGATAGTAGAGCTTTTAGTGACTAATACTGCCTTATCGCATTTAGCTAATCTATTGAGACTGGTTGCTGCACATAGTGCTTGGCGTCTTTCAACATGCATGTTTGCAAGTATCTGTCAATCATTCATCCATATTATTTTATTTGGGAGCAGGAAGATTTTGCTTTTTTTGGTATTCAGTCTGCTGATCATAGTGTTGAATATTAGTTGGATGGGTCCTTTCCCCCTTTCTTCATCAAGCATGTCAAATCTGGCCGGATGCTCTGTGTTCTTTATTGACTATGTTCAACAAATCTGAGCTAGTATTTTTTTCTTAAATCTGCAATAAATTCTTTACATGCCTGCATTATTATTACTATTTCTTTCTTTTCTTTCAACTGTTGCACAATTGTACACCAATGCTTCCTCTGGCTTTCTTCTTCCTTACTCCATATTTTATTGTTTTTAGAGTATAAACTCTTGCACATGCCTGTACGATTTTTGTTTTCTTTTCTTTCTTTAAATTTTTCACACAAGTGCACACCGATGCTTCATCTGATATACTTTCGTTTATACTCCATATTTTCTTGTTTTAAGAGTATCCATCAGTATCATCATGTTTCTTGTGTTGTATGCTACCACAGTTTTTTAAGTTTATTTTTTCTCTATTGCAAAATTTGTTTGGTTTCCTTAGCAAGAAATAGGCTCCAGTGCAAGATCATTGTCATTTCTGTCCTCTGTCATTACTCTGTGGTTTAAGTTTATATACTAGTCTTTCTTAAAGTTCATTCATAAATTATGAGAGAACAGGACAAAAAAATCCCAGGTTACTGCCAATATTCTTTAGCTCATTATGAACTTATATTGTAAACTTTAATCAAAACATGTTTAATTTAGGTTTCATTTATTCTTTATAAAATGAATGTGTCTTTTTTATGATCCGTGTCACATGTGTGCAGAACAAGAGTACTGGGGAATTGAGCTTCTTGACATGTTTTATGAACTTTTGTGGCTCTATTGGTAAGTCCCAGCACATAGTTCTTAACAAGAGATTAATGAGTTTGTGTCACTCATTTTCATCCCTAAAGCACTCCATGAGCTTCAGCTTTCTTGATTTTACAATATTGCGGTGACTGACAATGACATCTTTCTTTTGTTTTCTAGGATAAACTAATTTTGACTGTTCTAATTACCAATGAAATTTCCTTATACCAACTTTTAACCATGTTTCAATCTTTCTTTTTCTTGCATATCCACTAGTAATATGTTGCGTACAGTATCTAATATCTTCTGAAGTTCTATTGGTTAATTTTTGGTTAAGAACCTTTACCGGATGGGTCATGGATTATTATAATATGCTTAAACTGCTGAGAATAGGTTATTGTTTTTTTCTGCAACTGTTGCTGCTTTATTCTTTCGGTTTTGATGACTTATGTGAACCTTCTATTTCTTTTCTTTGCAGTGAGAGTCTTTACTAGCATTCAGGAAAATGCTCCACTTAGTGGTATCCTTCAACTTGCAAACATAATTCGTTAATACTCTGATTTCATATGCTTAGTTTCATAAAATAGTTTAGTGCTGCACTAGTTGCTTAAGAACTCTCACATTCATTTTTCTTTTTTCTTTTCCTGATATTTGAGCTGCAGCTTCAGTTTAATAGAAATTTCATGACTGTTCCCTTCATGCAATTTATATGATACTCTAAATTGTTCTCTTTTGTTATGACTTTCCACAGCAATTGTTTTGATGCAGTTTTATGTATACTTGGGTTCTCTCCTATTTAATTAAAAAAGATCTCTTGTAGTGTCCGCACAATGCTAACCAAACACTGTACATATATGTCACAAGAATAACCATAACAAATAGGCACCATAAACAGATGCAAGGTCTTAATGAGTTTCTGTCATAAATTCACAATAACTATTATACTTATGTTGAATTTTTAAAAGTTTCCAATTGGAATGAGTAAGAACAGTAACTAAATTCTTGCTCTTTTGCTTACATGACTCTTGCCTAAAATGGAGGCCTTTTTGCCTTTTGACCCATATTTTTAAGAATAGCGATGATTCTCACTTGACCTCTCCTGTCTCTTCCAATACTTATAAGAAGCTAAAGTTTCACCTTCTGTTTTCTCTTTCTTATACATCCTTGCACAATAACAAACTGGAGCTCAATATCTCTTCGATCTCCTAACTGCCCTGGAAAAAACAGAAAAAGAACCAAAAGAGATGGGAAAACATGTACACTGGAAGGTTGTGTAACAAAGGTTACTACTCCTGTGCTTAATATAGATTTAAGTTGCATCTCAAGTCGAGCAGCAAGATGGCAGGAATATCAAGACCATTGCTTAAAAGAACTGCTCAAAGCAAGTATCTTCAACCACTTTCAAATGCTGATATTCTAAATCCTTGATAACTGGTTGGTATTATGACTGAATCTTGTTATCATCTGAATGCTTTCTTTACTAATTATATACCTATATATCTATGAATTACATAAATAGTTCTTGAGAAAGTATTGCCAAAGAAGCATGATTTTTCTCTAACACTGCTGTGTGCCAACAACATGCCAACATGGATCACAGTGTTGGCTGGCACACACTAACAATTTGAAAAGGGTATAGCAGGACATGCTTCACATGGTATAAATTCTTGCGCAATGCTACCTTTCACATATTACAACTTCCTGAAATGTCAAGAGATTATTAATCTTAATAGTTTATCTGTCTATTTATCTTGTCCTTACCTTTTCCATTGAATGTGCAAACTACATACAAGATTGGTTAATTGTTTTGCCATCCTAAGACGTAATTATGTATGTTTATGTGCCGTGCATCTTGCTACCAATTTAAGCAAGTCTATGACAAGAAAAATATTCAAACATCATATTCATAGTAGACTTGCTTTGACGAATGAGCTGCCTCAGTTTGCCCTTAATTCATGCCAAGTGATTATGGGTTCGGTCATTGGTATTGCGACGAATGGCACCATCTTGAGTCAAATACTCGTGTACCAAAAACCAGATGCAAAGAAAGAGAAGAAAGGACAGTAAACTACACCATTTTCATCCAAAGATTTGCTGCAACTTGTTACAAGATTACTTGTCAATGGAGCACTGGGAAGTCTTACCTGTTTCACTTTTCAAGACTATGAAAATGCAACTTGTACAATATTTACCCCTTGACCGAAGGCATTTCATTTCTTCTTGTAAGGCGACATATTTATAATCTTCATTACTAGTACGAAATGCTTTCTACTATACTGCTCAACAGTTTACATTTTAGATTGAGTTGTAAGTTATAATCATGGTCCTCATATACATATGACGGAAAGGAAACATTTGATTCAATTATAGCCAGTTTTATCAACGCCTTGATTGCCAATTAACTGTTGTCTCTTATTTCTAGAATATTTTTTTTTAAATAGCTTAATATTCATTCTTGTATTATTATGCCAGAGCTTTCTTATCGGCTTCACGAATTGTGACCAACCGAACCACCAACCCCATTTGCACATACGCGTTTAATGTACGTCTTTGATTTGCATCTTTTTCCTGTTAATCAGTGCATCATTCTTGTTTACAAGTTTCTTAGCATTTGCATTAGAAATCCTGGAGATGCTTTATTCCGTGACATTCGTATTGGTAGGATATCGGGACGGTGACAGAGAAGTTAGAAGAATGTGAGCATAAGGTGTGGATGCCGAAGCTATGGTGCAAGCAATTCACATACGATGTACATAGAGAGAGAGATTGTTTCGATGAATGGGTCCGACCCCGACTGCTTTATCTTCTCTCCTCTTGATTTGTCCATATATATACGAATGGTCATTTCTTCTTTTGAAACCGAGATAGACAGACGCCAGCATGGTGGAACTCATCAGCCCGAAAGATGAGGTAATCTCAGCTCTAATTTTTTTTTTCCTTGTGGGCTCAGCTGGGATTGGGATATAACCTTGTGATATGTATCGATTCTCCTGTCAGTGTGGATTGAAATGGGCTTCGATAGGACTTATTGGATGTGGGTCTATGGATTTGGGTTGTGATTCAGTGACGAGCCAAGCTGCAGCTGCATTGATCCAAGGCGGACAGGACAGGTATATTGTCACCATATAACAAGATTGAGCTTACGGTGATTGTGGTTTTAGCCTCCCGGTGGTCGGGATGTCTGTTTGCTGGCGATGCGAAGATGCCGATGCTGGTGCTCCTCTACGCGGTTGCAGTAGCGACAAGACTTTTGTTTATGGTATGACTCGATTGAAATGTTTTGCCTCTTCTTCTTCTTCTTCTTCTTCTCTGGATTTCGTTTTTTTGGGACGCGACTTGATCCGTCTGAAACCTATATGCGATCGAAGAGAAGCCGTCACGAGGGACAAGGCCACATGTGACACCGTATTGCAACGATCAAACTAAATATGCTATCAGCATCCGCAAGCAAATGTAACACAATCGGACGATACGGAGTTGCCACCCAAGCAAAAGTTGCGAGGTGAAAGGAGGAGCAGCAGCATCAGCATCAGAGGAGTGACGGTGATCACATCCTGCTCACAGCGTGCCTCGGGATGCATCTCATCAAAGGAGAACATTGGGTTCCGCTTTAGGGAAGCAAGACAAGGAGCCTTTCCATGTGGATTGTTAGCTGCACGCAGCCATCGCTCGTCCTTGGAGAAAAAGAGGAGCGAGGGTTTCACTCCTCCATCACCCGAGATGACTGACTCCAACCCATAATATCCACCGAGGAGCAGACAGTGCCACCCTGAATCGTCCTCTCCATGTCCATGTCGAGGAACACTTGCTGTTCCGAAAGAAAAATACACGTGGTCTCACCTGCTATAGTTCCCATCAGTGTCGGAGTCTTACCTTCATCACCAGATCGACAGGAAGCGCAAAAAAATTATTGCACAAACAACTTCTCGTCGTTGGGCTCCAAGTGTTCTCATGTTTAATATTTTATGTTGGATCTCAGTATTTATTAAATAAACGGGACACTTTCTTTTTCATCACCTGTATTGAATTTATTATTCGTAATTTTTTTTTCCTATATCCATCCGGGATATATTTTGACCAGTAAAATCTTATCGATCATGTTTTTATTTATATTTATCATCTCGGACGAATGATCAAAATGCTTCCATCCATCCATTAGATTAATTATTTGATTTAAATCTTGGGCGTCTTCTATTTACCCCCTTTTACAGTATGCACTTGGGGTTATTATGTCCGTTCATTATATAGTTCGTATAGTAACGAGAACGTGAAGTTCAATCGATACTGTCATCGGCCTACGTACTACATGACTCTTCTCCATGTAGCATTCATTAGACGTAATCAACTGACTTCACTTTCTAGATAGTCAATGCGATACGACCAAATGGGTCTGACATATCAATTAAGTGACTTCAACATGTCAACTCTGTGGAGCCACCATGTGCAGCTAACGTGTTAACTGTACCATTTTTTCATGATAATATCATATATGTAATTATATATATATATATATATATATATATGGTCGAGATCATAGTTAGGTTAGTTTCCAAACACTTTGGGATAGGCGTGACCAAGCTCGTGTGACAATTGGGTCACAAGTCGGTGGGCTCCAGCACAAATTAGCCCACATGTAAACCTTCTCCAACCACTAACGTCCCCATCCAAACCTAAACCACTTTATTTTCGCAGCTAAGCAAGTTTGGGATGTCTAAAGGTCGGGAGGGTTCGGCGAGAGATCCTATTAATAATATTAACAGAATTTCTTGAAACTTAAGTCAAAAAAAAAATAAAAAAGTATTTAGAAAATATTAATATGGTTGTACTTAAATTGCTCGTGAGATTTTAAAGAGTGCTCTTAAGTAAAGTGGGCGTTAAATAAGAAATTAATATATACGATAATTATTTGAATTCATCAATTATTTTGACATCGAGATCGAACCCTCGAGCATTACGAGTGCTATGTGGATGGCACATTAGCTGATGTCGATGGACATACATGATGTCGGATGGATGGCGTGACATAATGTCGGATCATCGACATGTGAGAATTGTTATTTTGATAATTAAAAAAATGCTTTTACGTCAAATCATAAATGAAAAGAAGCACGAGTTAAATCGCGAGAATTTCACTCGGTCAGTCTCTCCGTTACGACCCGGGAGATTCCCATTTTCCATCAAGCTTCCGTCGGGGGCTATATAATCCCATGAACTCGTTCTTCTGAGTCAGTCAACCTAAACACTGCGACGAGTGTCTCCTGTCAGTTATCCCCTGAGCTCTGATGCAGATGAGCAATCAGACGTAGAGCAGAAAGGAGGCTCCTTTTGCCTTCTCTCCGCCCTGTTTCTGCGGAATCAGAAAGGTAAGCATCGTGCGTTTGTGTTTCTGATCTCATGGCATTGTCTGTCACAAATTCTAATCTTAGAAACGTGTTCATTATAAATCTGATTTTTTAGTGAGAGATAATGGTGAGAACTGCGACTAAAAGTGTCCTCTCACAGAGAGAGAGAGAGAGAGAGTCACTGTAAAGAGAGCGAGGAGGAACGATGGCAACATAACCCCATAAACTTTTCCCAAGTGATTCAGTCACTTTTAGTAGCCGAAGTGCGATTCCTTGTTATTTATCCCGAGCTTCTTCTTCTGATTCTTTCCCCCGGCAGAGCTCGACGAAGACGAGCGATTAGAACTGAGGCAAAAAGGAAGCTCCTTCGCTTGTTTGTTCCTGAGGATTTCTTGGACAAGTTTTTTCTTTGCTTCTTCTTCTTTCTCACGCATCCCATGCGATTTGGTGGCTCCCAAAGGTGCGGTTTTTACTGTTTCTTTTCTTTCCCTTTTTTTTGCTTTGCCAACAAGTTTTGCTTCAATTCCTTTCTATTTGGTGGTATTACTCGATCGCCAAGATCAAAGAAAGGGGAATGGAACGATCTTGCTGACATTAACGAGGGCAAATCAGGATTTTGAGTGTTCTTTTTCCTCGTTTACCTGATTGCAGGGGAATTTGAAGACGAGGCAGCAATCGTCGAGATCGATGGATCGATGTTGTCGGGTGGTGGAAGGTGTTATGGGGTGAGACGAGTGAGGTGGAGGCGCTTATGGACCTGCTCAGATACTGCTGGGGACCGTCGTTAGCTCACTATGTCAACTCGGGCTCCGACGCCGTCGGGCGGCGGGACGGGCTGCTCTGGTACAAGGACTCAGGGCGGCACGCGTGCGGCGAGTTCTCCATGGCCGTCGTCCAGGCCAACAACTTGCTCGAGGACCAGAGCCAGATCGAGTCAGGGCCGCTGAGCTCGGGTGAGTTGGGCTTATATGGCACATTTGTCGGGATCTATGATGGGCACGGTGGTCAGGAGACCTCGCGGTATGTCAACGATCATCTGTTCCACCATCTCAAGAGTAAGGTTCTGCAGCCGGAAGCTAATCCTTCTTTATCTGCTTCGCTACTTTTTCTTCTCATTGCATCTGTTGCTGCTGGTGAAAACCTGCCCGCATTCAATCCATTACCATCACCATCACCATTTGAGCTTTGCATACTAAATGTGCAGAGCGGTTATTGCACCTTCATATGACATGTTCTGATTCTAACATTCAAGAAACAACAACAATCCACCAAGTTTTCGACTGATTTCGCAGCAAATTGCTGTCAGGATTTGCGTCGGAACAGCAGACGATCTCTGTTGACGTTATTCGAAAGGCGATCCAAGCTACAGAGGAGGGGTTTTTAGCTCTGGTCACCAAACAATGGCCTGCGAAGCCTCAGATTGCAGCTGTGGGTTCTTGCTGCCTGCTCGGCATAATCTGCAGCAGAACACTATACATTGCCAACCTTGGGGATTCTCGTGTTGTTTTGGGGAGGCTTGTGAAGGCAACCGGAGAAGTTCTTGCTGTACAATTATCGGCAGAACACAATGCAGGATTGGAGTCAGTCAGACAAGAATTGTGTTCTCTGCATCCGAATGATCCTCAAATTGTAGTCTTAAAACATGATGTTTGGCGTGTCAAAGGCCTCATTCAGGTAATGGACTACTTTGCTCACGCAGCACAGAGATCAAAAACTCAACATTGCTAGATCTTAGCTGCCACCTACTTATTTTGTTTGAATGTTTCATCCTTATCATGTTAGTGTTTCTCGAGTTGAATCGCATTTTTGCTTGGTAATGCACCTAACACTGGTTTCTTCTGTAGCCTAGCTTAGGTTAGGATGGTATGGATCCTGTTTTCTTTATCTTCTTCCGACTTTTCTGCTACAGTTGATTAAGTAATGATCGATACATACAATTGTTCGTCATTGTCTACACAGAGTTTAGTATAAATTAAGTGAGTTTTCGATGGACATGAACTCTATGAAAAGACAAGGGTTGCTTGAGAAAAAGATTGAGGATGAGGAAATACATCTGATTTCTTTTTCTATGTTCATTTACTGAATACAAAAACACAGGTGATGTTGGCCAAATAAGACCAATTAATCTTACAATGCACCTCATGCGGCACAGTGAAGTATGTTGATGCCTATGCAACTATTTTTGGTGCTATAGATCGATACACTAGGTTATGTTCTTGATGCTACAACAGAAATAGCCGAATGCTAAATGCTCAGAATGCAAAGATTGTGTTCTTCTCTTTTCATCCAAAAATTGGTCATGTATCCACAGGATGTATGATTGTTTTGGTGCAGGTTTCTAGGACGATCGGAGACGCATATCTCAAAAGGGCAGAGTTCAACAGGGAGCCTCTGCAAGCCAAGTTTTGCCTTCAAGAACCTTTCAAGAAGCCAATACTTAGTTCTGAACCCTCCATTTCTGCACAACCGCTGCAGCGAGAAGACCAGTTCCTTATATTTGCCTCCGATGGCCTTTGGGAGCACCTAAGCAATCAGGAGGCAGTCGACATCGTTCAACACCATCCCCGCAGCGTATGTTGTGCATTCTTCACATGTCTATTAGACCATTGGTCACTAGACCAGCTCTGAACGTTTGATCTTTGTGCTTCTTATGGTTTTCATATGATTATGGTATAGTGATGAGTTGAGACATCACGGCTTTGTTGAATCGATACTCTTGTATCATTGGTTGATTGGTGCAGGGGAGTGCCAGGAGGCTGGTTAAAGCTGCACTGCAAGCAGCCGCAAAGAAGAGGGAGATTAGGTGCTCCGACCTTGAGAAGATCGATCGAGGGGTTCGCAGGCACTTCCATGATGACATGACTGTGATTGTCGTGTTCCTCAATTCAAATCTTACAAGCAGGGTGAGCTCGATCCGAGGTCCAAAGACGTCGATCAGAGGTGGTGCTATCAGTCTGCCTCCAAACTCTCTCACGCCATATGCCAAGCTCATACATCACAATAATTCTTGATTTCCTGTACTATAGTAAAGCAGTTCCACCTACATGGCTCCCTTAGAGCGAAGTCGTTGTTGATGAGAGCTGCTAATAAGATTAAGCAGCTCTTTGCCTGTTTATATCTGCTTCGGTACAAATTACATGATGCGGCCAATCATTTCCAGCTTTCTAGTGCTCCTTGTTTAGAGGAATGCAATCTCTACGAACTTCTAGCTATTCTTTTTGTACTTTCTTCTTTGGGTTATGGCTAATTACTGCTCTGCTCTTAAGCTGTAGATGCAGTACATCAAATTCATAGCATTAAATATTAATCTTCCTTCATTAGGTTGAAAATGAGTGCCTAATCTAGAAGAGGCTATCGTGCAGTCTGAGAATAACATAGTTGTCATTATATATCTTGATGTTTACTACAGGTTAATCCCTTCAAATATTAAGATCCTTTACATGCCATTTTGTTTGATATCCATCCACAAAATACAGGTTAAATATTTCTAATCATGATTAACATTAGTTTGTTTTAAGTATTTTATATATATATATATATATATATATATATATATATATGTTTAAGGATGTTAATATAAATTAGAATTTTAACCAACAGTTATTTTACGAAAGCTAATGAAAATTAAATGCAATGGTGTATATGAAAGGATTTAGGTTTCCAAAAGATGTAAATGCTGAATTTGTAAAAACAAAAAAGTAGAATGACATATACAAAAATCACCTACAAATCCTTGTTTTTTTCAATGAATCAGAGAGAAAACACTTGAATCATTCAACAAATTGCATGGTACCAAAAAATTGTATCCTTTTCCAATGATTTCTACCCTTCTTGTTATAATGTTTAGGAAAATGAGACTGAAAGAAGAATTATTTTAGCTCACTAAACAACCATTTAAACGGCATTCAAAGGCTGTTTGGATTGCCTACATATAATGTGACGATTTCACCAGCACAGACACAAATGCACAGTTAGAGAACCAAAGTTCAGCAGAACCGTATACAGGTGCATATACCTATACTGTTTTAAAAGATCAAGTACTACATGGTTGCTATGCAAATTATTTTCAACATTCTGGATACAGTTGGTGGCTCTAATCATGATGAACAATGTACAAGAAAAATGGTTCCAGCTAATTGCAGGACACACGACTATTATTTGAACCTATCTTAGATACACAGACACCAAGAACTGTGAGAAGAGAATGAACTCGCTCACAATTACTGCAGGTGAATGAAGACCATAGAAAGGAACTATATCCACCTGCAACCAATGCTCAACTGCTGATCCAATTACCGCGCCTACCACAATGCTCCCGATAGTGATTACCGTCGCTTTTCCTGCAAAAAATGGCTCAAAAACCTCATTTCTAGATTCAGAATATGCAGCAGCATGGAACACATTAAAAAGGTAGCAAAAGCATGTGATGACATTAACATTACATTTCATGGTTTCCACTGGTGAGAAAGCTCTGTACGAGGATCGGTCAAGTAAAATTTGTCATTACAAGTTAACCAGACTTCATGCATGGGGCACTTCTGCATTTGGCAATGGAAAAAAGATAGGTGCTCGATGGGAGAATTATCATTGGCGGAACTGACATCCTAAACCTCAAACTAGTACTTTTTGTAATAGTATCTAGTTGGTTTGCTAATATACTCTGTCTTCACGAGAGAAACCTAGACAGTAACTAGTATTTGCTAGATGGCAAGTTCACTTTGCTCTGCAAGTAATTTATTGCAGATTCTTTGTGGCTATATACATAATGGTCATACTGGTCAGCTATAGAACTTCGAACTTTGGTTGATGGATTGAACCATGTTAAGATCCACACCAGCCCTGACCATGGCTCACCAAACACAATACGAGTTCGCCAGTGGCTGTTTAGCTCTTCCATCAAGTAGTTGGAAAGAGGAGAGTCTTGGCTACTGATTGACATGTGGAGGAGAGGAAGAATGGGAAGAAGTGCCATCAGTGAGTTGCCTAACTTAGGACACAACAAACAACAACAAGAAATCATAAGCATGCCAAATCTCAGGGTCAAATTTTTCCCATCATTGAGCTTTGTTGAGAGCAATTCACTCGACAAATCGATCCTCGATTGTTTGTTTTATTCATTGCTGACTGTTTTTTTTCATTGCACGACAGATACCATTGGAACAACTAATATGGGTCTAAAGTGATTGCTGTTAAAGGTGAGATAGGTGTGTGTGGACTTGTGGATAGGTCTAATAGAATACGGATGGTGGAATCACGCTATTGTTCATACATGATATGGCAATTACCATCTGAAAGGATATTGATGAACCAAACAATGGGCCACAGTGACATTTCTCATGTTCATTTTGCTCTTGAAGGAAACATATAGTGTCGAATAATTCTGTCATGTTCCTTAATTACTTTGGAATACGGAAGTTAACAACATCATCAAGGCTCACATGATCTCTAGAATCATTCCCTAATAGATGGCACATGGGACATATCTTATAGAGGCGGCTCCATCTTATGATGCACATATGCATTCATGGGAAGCTCTTCTTACTTGGCCCACTACCTGCATGTTCATCGTTCTGACTTGGCTATGAAACCATAATTGCCATAACTCAATAAAAAACATGTGGTTTTTACACCCAAATACAACTCAGGAATAAGTGTTTGAAGGTAGGTAATAACTTGATTAACTTATTTAATAACTATTTGTAGCAAACATCTAATTCCTTTTCAGATCCCAGACAAAGGGGTCCACTAGATTGATCCAACATGTGGCCTACTAATGCAATAACTGATATAGCATGTGACCTCAATTGTCACAATCGTTATGCTTCAAGTCTTTTCCTTTGCAAATATATTTAATCTAATAATGTCAAGGTTAAAGGTGTAATTGCAAAGAGAGGAAGGCTAATTAAAATCAGTTTTAAGTCTCACTATGGTTTCAAGTGTTAGGTACAGGATTTATCTTAGATAAGGAGTTACGACCTTGCTGTTCGGTCATGATTTACGTATACCGCAAAATATTTTCGACATGTAATTGCCTAAATAGCAACCAAGGGAACCAATAAAATATTTTCTCTTGTAGAAAAGGTGATTCGACTATGTGGAAGCCGGTCAGCTGAAATAAGACATCTATGGAGATAGCACGAATAGAACAAGCTCTTGCTAGTCATAGGTGCCCTGCAAGTCAATCACGTGAGTGATGACACGTGTGACATGACACGCATTCTTTTTGCTTATTATATTATTATGATATTCTCTCACTTTATACATTGTGATGTCTATGGATCTGTGGATTGGGAATCGGATCGCGATGAGATCACGATAATGAGATCGATTCACCTTTACACGCACCCTAAATAATCCTGGTCATAGGTTACTCGAGAGGGACATCGAGATAACCGGATAGACTGGTGTGCTGTATACTCGTCCATATGATAGAGGCAACTGGTCTCATAGCTGCTCGTGTGGGGATGCTAAGAATACAGTGCAGGTGCTCATTGAAGAATTAATTCATTGATTGATCCACTCACGGAATACTGGATGGTTGATGATGCTTTATTGTTAGATAATGATTCCGTAGTCCCAGTAATGTATCTAGTCCTTAGACTTGAGACACCAAGGATGTCCTGTATGAGTACTCCACTCTTTGATATCAGACTTATAGATTTTTGTTTTTTTGTTCCTCCGCTGCGCATGTGATGTCGCCCCTAGATTTCCATACAATGGTATTAGAGCCGGTTGTTCGTGCAAAAAATTGGTTTTGAACTACGTATGTTGTGTTTTAGGAAGACTTTTGTCATCAAAATCGTTGACGCAAAAGGTGAGAGAGGGCAGCAATGAGGCCTGGCCACTTGCGTGCGGGTGGCTAGCAGGCAGCAACCGGCAGCCTGTAGCTCGCAGGCAGGCAGTCGCACGGGCGGGGCAACGATGCCTACGGAGGCTGCGCCTGCGGGGGCGACGGTGCCCGTAGGGGCGCCCGCCCATGGGCGAGCTGCCTGCAGGCAAGGGCGGCACCCCCTCCCCCCGGCGTCGTGGTCGTCACCGGCAAGGTGGCGACGACCACAACACAACAAGCGCAGGGAAGGGGTTTAGGGTTTTTTTGGCAAAAGGCATTTTTGCCCCTTGGAATTTAAGAAATTCTAATTTTTGTCCTTTTATCCAAATTACGAAAATACCTCTTAGAATTCAAAAAATTCTCTGCATGTCCCTAATTTTAAAAAATATTAATTAATTAAAAAAATTAATTAATTATTTTTATTATTATCTAGTAGTCCTACATAACAATATTTACATGTGATGTATGATGTGGATGGATGATTATGGACTATGTGATGTGTGTGTACACGTGATTATTATTATTATTGAGGCCTGCGAGCCTCCAATTTTATTCTTGTTTATTTTCGAGCCTGCATGCCTATGATTAAATTGTAATCACATGAGGAGACGTTGCAGGAGCGTAGAAGCGATAGTGGGACCCACGAGGCCGAGACGGACGATCGCGATGCATGAAGATGTACCGAGATGCTGACGGAACCGACGAGGACGAGATGGACGATCACAAGGCATAGAGATACGCAGCTGCACACATAAATCTTGATGTGAGTGATTGGGCCCACTGGCTCAGGCCTGATCACATTAGGAAATGGTCCATGATCATCTGGTGTAATTGCTCA